AAAGGGTTGGACGGTACATGGAATTCGCTGCCCAGAAAACTCTGGCAGTTAGTGATGAGTATTCAATTTGAATTGTTCGAGAGCATGCATTCATGTTGATAGCATTTGTCGAGAGGACACTGGTATTTGTTTCGAGAGGACACTGAGAGAAAGAATTTTGTGTCTTATGTATCAGAGCTAGTCATGACGTAGTTCTTGAGAGGACATGTTGGGATTTGTATGCAAGAACTGACTCTATTCTACTGCATGGGTTTTGTGCAGTATTGTGAAGGCGTGTCTCCAAGTCTGTAACCGTCAGGTGAAGACAGCTTGGGCGCCTGTGTTTTGGATCTAATGATCACTCTGTGTTGTATCTACCCAAACTGCGCCACCACTGCCAACTACACAACAAACAGCAACTACAATTCTGTTGTCAACCCCCACCTTCTTGCGCGCCGTGTACATGTAGACGAAACGACAAAGACGAGGTACACACCGCCATGCATAGTTCATTTATGCATGCACCAGGTATGATGTGTGAGATAGTTGATTAACCGGGTACATCGCCTGAATGACCATCCAAACCAAGGCAACATTTGTGAAACGCACTTGTTACTGAGTGATCCATATATCTAGTTTAAACCTGGCGGGGTAACCCACAACAGTGCAATCACACGTCGACTTTTCAGACCGGCAAGCGACCACGCGCCCAGCAAACCACCTCACAGGACGATCCTGGCATTAAGCACGCGGCGGTCCACACATCGATAATTCCTACTGATAAACACTTTCCACACCTAGCCGGCGCGGCAGCCGAACCTCTCCCCTTCCCCGCGCATCTGGGTAGGTATCTTCAAGCCAAAGGGACGATGTACGACACTCGTTGAGACTGGACGATAGCGACCCCTGCTTCCCAAAACCTCCGCACACACTGCAGGGAAAAGATGCTAGCACAGGAGAAGAAAACGTAGCTGGGCCGCAACGCGATGGTGATGAGTCGTCTCCTTTGCAAATTAATAACCCGGAGACTGGACCCTGTTGTCCAATCCCTCCTGCGGAACCTCTCTGCCTGCGGGGGGCGACGACTAGAAAAACGTGTTCGCGTTTTGTAACGTGCCTTGAGACTGAAGTTATTTCATCGGCAAGCCGGTTAGAGCAATCGATGCTAGCAATACAAACACCCATAGCCTCCTCCTCTTTCGGTCCAGCACATCAAGAAAGCACCTCAACACAAACACCGTTCCACCCTCATCCGCTTACGGAATCCACAGCATGGTCGTTTTTTCTGGGTCGGCTTCGATGATAGTTCAGACACGGCTTGTCGACCCTCCACGGTGGTCACATTTCACCACGTACATTAACGACCTGACTGTGTTCCACACGCCAGAACTTGCGGGGGACAAAATGCCACCGCGCACTAGCCACACAATGAACAATGGTGTCCCTCTCCTGTGTATCCTATTTCTGCCCTGCCCTATCGCGTTATCCGCCCTTTCTTCATCACGGTCGCCTGGGTCTTGAAGGCTATGCACCCAAGCGGACAAACAAAGCAGGAGGGGTGTTCAGGCCCGTTAGCACTGATGACCTGCGACAGCACTCTCAGTGGACGGAAACGTTGTAGTGGTAGCCTGCTCACAGTGCATGGACAAGGTTAGGACCCGTTTCCTATGACATCCGTCGATTGGCTTTGACCATAATCGGTACACCTTCACACATAACCCCGGAAGAACCCCGATATACACGATAACCTGTGTAGCCGGTCTCTGAATTTTTTGGTGATGGAAAAACAACGCCAGCCTGTCGGGGTAGTGTGTGTGCACGTTAGGTGTCGTGAGGGAATAGGGCGTGCATGAAAGAAAAACATCGCACAGCGAGACGAGAGAAACCCGACACGCAGCCAGTCGTACCACCAGCGACACACACGGGGGAGTACTACTGCCATGCAAATAGTGTAAGGTATGAATACTCCGTGCAGGGCGTCAAGTTGACGTGGTTCTGGTATCAAGAGGCAGCAGATGCACCGCCATGGAAAGTGCACGGGAACCGCCCAAGGACCCCTCGACTCTGTGGACGTCCAGCCAAAAGGATAAAACTGAACAATGGGAATTGACCATTCTGCCGGGTGGGTTCTACTGACCTCGGTGATGGTTTGTACCCCCGTAGATCTTAGGACTTTCCTCGAAGTTTGTCATCAGTCCGGACGATGCTGAGGGCGCAGGCTCTCCGTACGCTGCGAACCACTCCGCAAGACTGGAGCAAGGGGGGCTCGCTGAGGGTTGCTCTTGGGCAGCGGCTGCTGTAGATGAGGCAACCTGGCCGGCCTGCTGGATATCTTGTTCCACCTGACAATGTTGATTTTTCGGGGATCGCGCGGGGGGAGCAGACAGGACCTCGGCATGAAACGTGAATTCGAAAGTGATCTAGGATAGCGTGTTCTTGTCGTTTGTATGCAGCATTCTGGCCATCGGTATTGGTGGACCAAACGGGAACAAGAGTCAGGCAGAGAGGGAGCGAGAATGACCGCTGCAGACCCAAAGGACTTTCGAGTTTCTCCGCTACCTTCGAGTCAAGTAAACGTAGTGGAGAAAAAATGGTTGCACAAACGATAGACACTGAGGATTTAGACTCGAAGACAAGGACCGCGAAGTTTTTACTCGAAGCGCGTTGGATAAATGACTAGATTAACCGGAAAAGCAACTAATTCAACGTTTACAAGGAGATTATTTCCCCTCCTCTTGTGGTGGACGTCCACCTCCACCTCCTCCTGCACAACCAATCTTTCCCGAGATACAATCGAACAGGTTGTACAGCTACACGCGAACAGGCCTGATCGATGTCTCGCTGTAGACGGGCGATCTTGTTAGTGAGTACTGCAAGCTCCCCGTTCGCCACGATGCGCGCCGCCTCCTCCGACGGCCGGTAGTACTCGATCTGGCCAGGGCGAGTCGCGATGGCGATCGCGTACTCTAGGTTCTTGCAGGTCTGGCGCGCCTGATCGTTCAAGCCTCCCTGGTCGGTTCGTGTGTTACGCGGCCGGAGGCAACGGAGTGTGATATAGGCAGTGCCCGCACGTAAGGACTTGGCAGTGAAGAAAATTGAGCCTTCACAAACTCAGAATCTAAGAAATTGAGAACCGTTTTTGAGCGCAGTTAAGAACCCCTCTATCAAAACCAATGAAGGGACCATTCTAGCCCACGGTCCCCGCCTCGGCCAATTCAACTTGTTACAGCTGTTGGACCTCGGAATTAACCCCAAGGTTGTAATCCCTGTAATCAGCGCTACCCCATGCAGTTCGTCGAGTTACAGACGGGAATATGTGTCTTTACTTGGACGACTGGAATGTATACCGTCTTCCAGGCGTATCCCAGCCTTCTTTCCCGGAAAAACGGCGTCGAAAATGGTCCACGAGGGATTCGAACCGCGGTTGTACTTTTGTTATGATGTACAGCATGTCCCCTACGCGACAAGTCAGCCTAAGATGTACAGCATGTCCCCTACGTGACAAGTCAGCCGCTGACTTGTCGCGTAGGGGACATGCTGTACATCTCAACAGTAGTTTCCGAAGATTCCGTGGCCCCGCTGATCGCCTCTTGTGTTGACTACGTACTTCAATTATTCCGACAGGTACATGTTATGCCAAGGCCAGGCTTCAGCTGGGATAATCAGGACGATTGGGCGTGCTGCTAAAACGAGGGCAACGTTCGCGATGGTACTAAAAAGCGCAAGCAGACCGATGCGCCGACTTGTGGTGCTTGTTCTCTAGCAGACTAGGAGAAAAACACATTTCGCTCGACGCACTCTCTCGATCATGTTGCTGTATCGATAGCTACGCGTATGCCGACAGGTAGCCGTCTCTCAATTGGAATACCGGGGGCGACTCGCTCGGCGTTAAATTAGCCCGAATGTCGAGGTCACGCAAACCAATATATCAGCATTCTCTAGATGAACAATGCATGGCTTTAAGTGTACGAACGAAACATATGTTGATCCAGCCCGCCGGAGGCAAATATAACTCCCGCTCATGTCTCCAGTTTCGTTCCATCTATACGTATAGTCTATGTACGTCGCACCTGCCGTGTGAGGATAAAGTTGAACTCCTTCGCGAGTTCCTCCTGCTGCCCCAACTTGCGGACTTTGAGCGCGGTGAGTTCATCCTGCCGCCGACTGCCTTCGTGGTTGCTCGTTGAGCCCGACATTGGTCCTTACGTTCCGCTGCTCACAATGCTTGTGGAGCCACACATGCCAACACATGTGGACGGCGGAGAATAGTGTACATTGTGCGTGAGACACAATCACCGCATTTCTCTACGTACATTGCCATGTTATGTGCGCGCGCGATGCGCGAAGGTGGACAGGGGATAATGATCGACACTTTTCAAGATCGTGTGGAACAAGATCACCATGATATGGCGTGGAAGAAAATTACGCAGAAATCTGCCGGCGGCACGTAGTTCTACACATTACAGCAGTCGTACGCCTTTGGTGCTGCATTGTTGTATGGTAATGTTTGTCATAAATCTCTCTTCGCCAAGAAGTCGCGCCCTCTTTCATCAATGTTTGAAGTGGTCGGCAAATTCTTTAGGGCATCCCCGGGCAAGAGTTATGGTTTGCGATACGTGTACCAACGTACTAACCAGGGTTCCGCTCGGTTCAGCGGATTTGCCCCTGACCTGCGAAGCCCATTCCCGCGTCGGGTGCAAAGGGTAACAGCCGTTCACTGATGCACAACGATGCCCACGTCACAAAGCGTGCAACACAGCCCTGGAATTGAGGACGATTATCGCGTATCAACGACGCACCTCTCTTCCTGTGGACCGCCCATGGCACTACGACATGTTCGTTGGTTAGAGGCGAAAGTAATGCGATGTGATTCACTACCTCGCAGTACTTCGTCGAAAGGACCCATGAAACGACCGACGAAACGGCACCAAAAATCCCTCTTCCACTCTTCCACCTACACCGCGTGTAGGCTACACCCTACCACTCACCACTCACGCCCTTTGTAGTCCCCTCCGCGCAGCCCCCATCCGTAAACCCGCCGCATTTTGCACTAGACTGGCACGGATTTGAGAGAGCCACCGCGTGCAGCAGCACACTAAGCACTCAGCGCCCGGCACCCTTTAGCAGCATGACATAGGGACCAAACTACCATCTCAGGTTTCATCTCCACATCTTGACCCTGTTGAACCAATCTCCTTGTCACCACCAGCTGGAGAGAGAGAGAGATCAAGAGAGCGCGAAGTGGAGGAGGTGGAAAACCCGCAGCAGCCGTAGCAGCAGCAGCAACGAGGCACGGCCGGAGCCGCGGCTGTTGACTCTGTGCCAGCAGCAGCAGGAGAGAGAAGCAGTCGACGGCACCACACCATGGAACAGCTCAAGCATTTTTTGGGTGAACTGTCCGCACGAACCGTGTCTCTACGGCATCAACGGCGACTGACGTTTGCTTCCGAGGTGGAGGAGTTGGAATACGAAGAGGTGGGTTTGTTTCCCGTGAACTCCCGCGCGGAGGAGTGATGGTTGTACATGCCTGGTGGTTCGCTAGAGACCGCACACGACGGGATCCGCATGAGAAGGTTCTAATTTTGGCGGGCACAAGGACAAGCATCCCTTCACCATATCCGTGACCCAGCGGCGGTGCTTGTGGCCTCGGTACGTGATGTACGTGCTTACAAGTAGGACGGCGCCCGCAGCAGTCCTAACTCACCATTAGGATGTTCCTCTCCCCCGTTGTTGGGCGTTCGTGTTGTTTTCGTGGACACGTTCCTCACCGCGTCGGCAAAAACCATTAACCATGCACCTGCTCTCGTTTTTTGGTGGAGCACTGCTGTGGTTTCTCGTCGATCTCAACACGTCGGTGCTGAGATTCTGTATCTTGTGCACAGCAGCAGATTCTCCCGCGGGACATGCCATGTGTCGTGCAACCTATTTGCATGTGAGAAGGGGAAAAATGGCAAATCGGCCTACAGCAGTAGGGGGGGGCATCTCTCCGCCTCTTACGGTATTCCTTGTTGGAGTTCCATCGAGCCAGTAAAAGCAGCGGCAGCGCAGCATCACTCGCAAATGGTTGTTACCACACCTTTCCCGCCTCTGCAGAGAGTAGGAGTGGGAATACCATGTTCGTGCCAAAGGGGATATCCTTACGGTAGAATTTTTCGCCAACACACCCAAGTTACCGTGTTGCCATGGCCGTTCCTTGGCATGCATATTTTGCTATCCCTGTCTTCAGGATAGTGGCCGTGGGGCTGACAGGGAGGGTCGGCATGAAGGGGAGGGCGCGCGCCATCCCACGGTCATCGTCCGTTGCGCCCCCCCCCCTTCATGCTGCCCCTCCCTGTCAGCACCGTCCTAAAGGCAGAAAGCAAAATATGCATGCGAAAGAACGACCATGGCAACAGCAGTACCAGTAGTTATCGCGTTGTGGTGCGCCAAGAATGTATGCGTTGTTTTTGTTGTTTGTTTGTTTAGTCTCCCATCATTGGACTCTGTCGTCTGCCCCTATGGCCCCTATCCTCCACTTCTACTAGCTAGACGACCCAACCGGGGTCACATAGGAGGGGGGGGTTGGACCCCCTCCTGCGGTTCATGCCTGAGGTATTTTTATCGCGAGAAGGGTACAGCAATCCCTTCCCTCGCGACTTACGAAGTCGATTATGGTTTACTATCAAACGAGCTTTGCAGCGCGTCGCTTTCATCCTAGACCAGGATTTATTTAGTGAGAAAAAAACTCTCTCTGCCGGGACTCGAACCCATGACCTGGCCCTTAGCAGGCTGCGAGGCTACCCACTAGACCACCGGGGCGACCGGTAGTATGTCCAGGCGGCTTTTCCATCGACCCGCCGGAATCGGGGTAACCGCACGATGCGATCACACGAAGAACCAAAAGCACGTCGAAATACTTCGATAAAATCCCGGGTCACACCACACTGGTGTGACAAAGACGGGCAGTTGTCAGTGGGTGTAAGAATGGCACAGCAGTAGTGTGGCGACGATGCGCGTGTGCGTGATTGCGTCATCTTTTTCTTCTGGTTCCTTGGTCCGTCCCAATCTTTGACCCCCGACCATGTGCCCCCCTTAAAAAAAAAATCGCCGCGACCGCCCGGCCCATCGGCCGCGCGTTTCTTGTTGCCGCCAATTGGTCGCAAAGGTGTCAATAACGATCGCACACGTTCCAGCATCGAACAAACAGGTACTTTTTCGTTTAACCACGCCTGCTTCCCACCCAACCATCGACCGACCAGGCGCTGGCAATCTCCCTGGTGTGCTTCTTCCTGAGCATGGTGGCCTTCTCGTCCGTCTACAGCATGTGCAAGGCGCGGAGAGCGAGGGAAGGGATGGGATACCGGGAGGTGCAGCGACCAGAGAACTCGTTCGAGATGATGTCGCTCGGCGGAAGGGACGGCGTTTCGATGGTCCTGCCCCAGGGATACTAGGACGAGAGAGACAGGCAGACAACACGCAAGGGACAAGAGAGAAAAAGGGACAGGCACAGAGAGACAGAGAGGGATGCTGCTGTTGGGGGGTGAAGGCGAAGGCCTTGCCTACGTTTTTTCCGGCTGTGCAACCGTGGGGTGTGGTTGGGAAAGAGGCTGTTGCCGTCGCAGTGGGTTTAGCCACAGGCTTGCTTGCTAGGCTTGGTTGCTTGGTTGGGAAAACCGGGGGTGTAGGTGAGGACCGGGGACGTTCACGTTTGCGAAACGTCTCGAGGTGCCATTCGAGCGTTGGCCGCGCATTTCGTTTTCGAAAACGGAGCATCTTGAGAGAGATCCCTTGACACGGGCGTGGTGCTCCCTGTGGCTCCGCGAAATCGGGCGGGGAGAATTGGAAAGGGTGTGGTGCTGTGCTCGTGCCCTCCCGTGCGGTCTACCGAATGTCGGGGTGTGCCGTGGCGGCGGCGGAAGCGCCGTTGCCTGTTGGTCGATTGATATATATGCGTCAGGGCTACTCTTCCGCCAACCTCGAAATGCGTAGCACCGGCAATGGATGAACGGAGAAACCAGGGTGTGAACGTGAGGAGGGCAAGAAAATGTAATTTGAAGGTCTTTGACGTGATTTAGTTTTCGCGGATCAGCCTCCTGGGTAGAAGGCGGCGTTCATCGGGAACCGCTTCGCCGCGGCCACCGCTGCTATGGTGTGCTTTATTTTCTCCTTGCCGTGTGTCCCCTTCCACTACGCTCGTTTGGTTCGTCGGCGCACGGCCGCGTATTGTGCGCTTGTGGTTGGTTGTATGCCACGAGGCCTTCCGGGTTTCGTCCCCGTCTCTTTCGTTTGTTTGGTCGACCTCGGTTCGCGGTTTGGGCAAACACCCACCTGCGAGTCCAACATGTACAGGACCCTCGAAGGCCACGAGGGTCCCGGTACACATCGAGGAACACTTGCTCAGTGTGCAGACGGAAGGACGGAACATCTCTCTGGAAGTACTCTAGCGTTACGGAAGTATCATTCGTGTAATGCGAGTTGAGGAAAAGGCATGCAGTTTTCTGATTGGTAACAAAAAAATTGCGGCGCAGCTGTTTTTCGGAGGTGACCGAAGATCCTCGGGAATTTGGTCTGTGGTGTCGAAGTGTTGCCCGCGCCGAGTTTTTGACAATCCAACCTTTTGTGCTTGTTTCCATTCTTGCGACCTCGTGCCCAGACTGGTTTGGACAAGTGATGCATCTGCGTGACTCCCCTGCGTAACGCCTACGGAGCTCGTGTTGTGATGATTTTAGTTGTCATGTTGGTTGTCTCGATTGTTTTTATTATTTTGTAGTTTGTTATGATCGTGTTAGCAAGCGATGCGGCGCCGAGAGCGTTGATCGGTGTTCTCGTTGCGAGACTTTTGGCATGGTGCACCCCCCCCGCCCAAGGTTTGGTGTCATTTTGTGGCTCGTTCCCTCTTTGGTCCTGTCTACTTCTTAGCGGCGGGTTGTACTACATTCATTTTTTGTGTTTCTCCTTAACTTTAAATGTATCAGGTAAACAACAACAAACCATCACAGAAGGGCAACTACCCAATGGCGAGGGATTATTCTCTTTGAGCTTGTTCGCGTTGACCTGCCCTCTATTTGGCAAGAAAAGAGGTCTACTGCCAGACAGTCGCCACGAAAACTGCGGTCGGCGTAACGTGTGCACCACGGCAAGGGTGCGAGCGGTGCATGAACCGTCCGGAACGCAAATGACGATGTTTTCGGGGGCAAGCGATAAGCGTTTTCTTACCACCGGCGAAATTGCCTTGAGGGTTGTTGCTTGGCGCAGGCACACGCGTGTGGGTAGGTAACTGTTTCTTGATTTTTTCTCGTGTGTCCTTGGGCGCAGGGGAATCATTGCTCACAGCTCAAGCAAAGCACAATCCTGGCGTTGTGGGCGGATGGGTACAAAGTCGTGGTTACTGATGTCGTGACAAATGCAACAGCCGACAGATCAGCGGGCAGCACGGCGGGTGCTTTCGGTCCGTCAACAGTCTGGCCGCTGAAAAAGACACCTTGGGTTCACACAAAAGCCAACAGGCAAGTTATGACACCAACAGCAGCAGCATTTTGTGTGCGACATCGGCATGCTACCTCACTTACGACTCTGGACGTCTAGCAGTCCAGGCTATACGAAAACATGACGTAATGACTTGACCAGGCACAAGCGCTCACATAGAGAATCTACATCACGTCAATGTTGGGTAACCCCCACAGAAACTAACGGCTCGAGCATCGGGCTGAAAATGTACGGGTGGCGTTGCGGACGCAGTACTCACCAAACGCGTAATCCGAGTGGCTCAGTAAACAAGAGTAGCACTCTTGCCGTGAGGCACCGCAAGGGCATGAGCTACTACGACACAACTCTTCTTGGTGAAGGGTAGACTCATCCAAAACCGCCACGCACCAAACCAACACAGTCCACCGGACCCCCCCCACTCCCTGTGGAGTAGGTTCGCGCGCAAAACAAACTTGATTATTGTTCCCCCGCCTGAAGACCTGCCAACTCTTGTCTCGCTGCCAGGGGCGCGACCACTCGCTGTTCGCGACAAACAACTGCGCATCCGCTTTGTTTTCAAAGCAGCAGCGATTCTCAAAAGTTGCCGCCGGTATGCCGCATGCTGCGTACCAGGCAAGTTCAGCTTGTTGTGTTCCCGGGACGCCGGGACGCTACTACCCTCGGGGGCTCGGTGTGGAATGCATCACATGCCACCCGCCCGCCTTGCCCCCAATCCATGTATCCCCTTTGTTATCGTGCGTATTTCCGTCGAAGAGACAGCAATAGACAAGGGAGCTCTTTGGCCCGGCTCGTTGTGGTACACACTTGTTAGCTTCGAACCTCCCTGTACCTGTGGCACTAAAAACATAGCAGGGTATGGATTGACCAACTACTTTGGGGGGGAATCAAGGGAATCGACATGCACATAGCACACACACAAGCCGCATGAAGATCTACGCAGCACCCCATAAATACAAGTACTCGTTCTACCGTCCCCGCCCCCCGCCCCATGCTCTACCTATCTATCTAATACCTCTAGAGCTTCATTTCCCCCGCTCAAACTCTTACCCTATTTGAAAAATAAACATTCATATTCGGATATTTCCTGTAGCGCGGTCGGTTCAATAACACCCCGGGGAACACGCCGTGCAAACACGATGCAAACCAACATCTACCCTTTCGGCTGTTTGGGGCACATGCAACAACCAGGTTGTTCCCGAAAATTCCAGCAACTCCACTGAATCTCCCAGAACCTCAGCCCGGAGGAGGGTGTGGTGACAAAACTCGGACTACGATATACAAAACAAACAAAAAACCAGGGAGCGGCAAACACGATGCAGAACAACACGCACCATTATCAGCTGCTTGGCACATGCCACCATCGGCATGCACCTGGATCTCCCAAAACTTTAGCCCGGAGGAGGAGGGTGTGGTGACAAACGGTCAAACTGCTACTGCTTCACCTCCCCCCCCCCCCCCCCCCCCCCCCCCCCCCCCCCCCCCCCCCCCCCCCCCCCCCCCCCCCCCCCCCCCCCCCCCCCC